GGAGGAGCCGTCAAAGTGGGAGGGGCGCCGAGGTGGGAGGAGCCATCGAGGTGGGCGGGGCCATCACTGTAGGAGGGGCCATCGGGTAGGAGGAGCCATCACAGTAGGAGGGGCCATTGAGGTGGGCGGGGCCGAAGGGGTGCGTGGAGCCTCTGCGGGGGCCCCGAGCCGGATCATAAAGGCTGCCAAAGAAGAGCTGAAAGACCACAGGCCTGGGAGGGGGACCCCGAGGGCGGGGACCTCCTGCTCTGTCGGCCCGGTAACCCCCGAATCAATCATTCACGGCTGTCATCCCCGGGGCTCCAGGAGGGACGCGGGTAGGTCCTCCGGAGTCATTTCCAGCCCTGAGCCCCCAGGAGCCTATTCGCACATCCCACCACTATTTATTAAAGGGCCCACTGTGTGCTGGGGACAGTAGTGGGTTCTGAAAATAAGACAACCATGAACCAGGCGTGCAAGTTTCCTAAGACAACCCCAGCGACAGCGGGCGACCTGTCAAGGACACAAGTGGATTACAGCAAGTGAAAGCGCTTGGGGGCAAGAGCGCCCCAAGGTCACAGTGGGGCTTGTGCGGAGCGGGGGCGTCAGGGAAGGAGAGCTGGGGGGGAGGGGCCGGCCTGGTCAAGCACCTGGACACCCAGCCTGGAGATGGGCCTGAGGGTCCCGGCAGAGCTGGGGCTGGGAGGCTGGAGCAGCCGGGGCTCGCCTCCTGCAGGGTGAGCGGGGCAGGGTGCAGCTGCCAGGAGCCCCCACCGGGCTTCCACCCTGCCTGGCGCAGCTCAGGTTCCCAAGGGAGCTTTATTTTGGTGATGGTGCCTCTAAGAAAGGGAAGGCTGGGCGGGCCAGTTTGAGGGACAGGAGTGAGAATGGAGAATTTCATTTTGGCGATGTGCACTTTCAAATGCCTATGGAACCAACACCGCAGCTGACACGAGAGTAGGCCGTCCACCGAGGAGCAGGGTGAGACTACAGAGCTGTCAGTTATTTCAGGAGGTGAGGGGGAGACAGGGCAGGGGAAGGATGGGGCTGCTGGGGCGGCGAGGAGCGTGGAGGAAGTCAGAATCACAAACACAGCGCAGCTCCCATCTGCCACCGGGGAGATCGATCCAAATCCGGAGAACATGCTCCTGGAGGCTGACGAAAGCTAGAACTGGATTCAGTTTCCGTAGGGCGGAATAAAGGCCCTTTCTCTTCTTCTCCACCCCCCAGACCTCCCAAAAAAAACAACACAAAGAAAATTAAAACCCAAAAACCCAACTCCATCTTCTGTGAAACTCAACTCCACGGTCCCGAGGTGCCATAAATGAAGATGGGAAGAGTGGAGGTGGGCCTTGCAGATGGAGGGGAGCAAACCTCCGTGTCTACTGGCCCTGTGGAAGCCAGGATGGCACCATGCAGGGCATTTCACTGCCCACGCGGAGCAGGGACAGTGGGCTCCGGGGGCTGAGGACGGTGGCGAGGACCGGGAGTGGCAGATCGCCCTGTCCGCCCCCCACGTGGAAACACACGGAGGCTTTCGGAGGGAGAGAGGACTCAGCAAATGCTACAGAAGAGCCAAGCAAATAAAGAGAAGTAGGATCTGACTAACTCTAGGGGAAAGATGCATATTAAAATCAGGTGTATGTCTTCAGCTCAGCAGTGACCAGTATTTACATAGTCATAAGAGCCTGAGACTGAATATTACTTCAGCCAAGAAAAAAGTGACGTAACTCCAATGGGAGGCTGCAGGAGGAGCGGGGAAGCGTCGGAAAGCCAAGCTCGTCCACAACAACAGGAAGGCCAAGGGTGATGCTGAAAGTAGGTTAATCCTCAGGCATCGAGAGGCTCCCGCCATCGGGAAACGGCGGTAAATACCAGAACAGAAGGTTGAAACATTTTAAATTCTTGCCGCTGGAAGTGGGAAGGCATGAGGCTCACACACGGGACTGTTGGTTTTATCCTGCATTTTATCAATATTTGACCTTTGTTACTGAGGTGAAAGTCACATCATAAAATCAACCACTGTAAAGTGAGCGACGCCGCAGAACTTAGTCTATTCACGGTGTTGTGCAAACCCACCTGTGTGTGTCCAAAACATCTTCATCGCCCCTGAAGGCAGCTCTGTGCCTGGGAAGTTCACCCCCACAGCCCCCAGTATTTCACCTTTAAAGGATGTGCACGTACCAGTGAACATACTGCCTTTTTTAAAGGACCTTTTCGTATTCAGTTGCTGTTCAGTTTTTACTGAGCTGTCACTTATCAACAGAGTGACAGCAGCCCTGGGCTGAGTAAGGCTCAGAATCAGGAGGGCCACGGAGACCTTTCCACACAGTGGGCGCCACACGGACGGGGTGGCTGCTCTGGACAGCACCCGGGCATGACTCCAGTTAGGTAAATTCACATAACCTATAACGTACCCCCGCCCCCTTCCGCTAGTGGGCGTGTGTCGCAGCGAAACCCCACCCAGGCCCTCGGGTCTCGCAGCCACAGGTGGGAGCAGGTGCGGGGAGGAGAGCATTTCTCAAGAAGGCGCCTGTTCCCAGCAGGGCAGGAGCGACCACCAGTCCCACACCCGCCACACGCCACGGAGCTGGGAGGGAAGTAAGCCGAGCGCCAGGCAGGAGAAGTGGGGCTGCCGGTACCTGGCCCAGTCCCGCTGAGTCTGCCCTCGGGGCCACGTGCCCACTTCACGGTCCCGCGCCCCCACCCTCTGGCGAGCGGCAGCAGTTAACTAGACACACACGGTCCCCGCACTCAGAACCTGAGCTCTTCAAACCCGCCCAGTGACCAAAAAGGTAATCCGCAGGCTGTCATTTTTTTTTAAAGTGCTTTCATTGATTTTAGAGAGAGGCAGGGAGTGGGAGAGAGAGAAACACCAATGATGAG